TGTGGTACCATTTATATAGTTGAAATTATGGATAAAATAAAATTAGATTAACCACAGACATGCTTTTATGGATTTTAATCAGTATCATACAATGGTATACATTAATACAACTATTAATTTGGGTAATAATTTGTATTTATAAAATTAAAAGAATATTAATAAGTAGAATTTTTGAAGCCATACAACTTACATTAATACATATTTTTTAAAACAAATACTTTTTTTTCAGTTAGGAGTAAAATTGATTAACAGGAAATAAGTAAGTATACAACAAATACAATTTGATTAATTTATCCTATTAAGTATTCTTGTGGTGAGGTTAATGAGTTCCTCGTTAACAAACTTTAAATTATTAAAACATTTTTTTTTGTGTACCAGATATTAACGTTAAACGCACTAATTTCAGGTGAGTCAACAACTTGCTTACTATCAATTTATTTGACTTTTATAATATTACAAATTGCTTATATAGAGATCTGAAATGAAGTTAATTGAGCTATAAAAATTTTTTGGGAGGAACCTATAAAATCTTTTTTATTTAGACATTTTTGTACCAATAGATTTTGTTGAACTTCTAAAGGTTTCAAACCGAATTAGTTTTACGTTCAACTCTCACAATGCCCAAATGGCTACATCCATTTGTCCCTATTAGTTTTCTCTTATGCAAAGCGTAACTTAGATTCCCATGGCATAATATTGAAAGAGTGCAAATACCTACTGAAAGGTTGACAAATTATTATATGTGGAAACTGACAACTGTATCTATTTAGGAATGAATGTGAATGATTATCTTATACCTTTAACTATATTTCAAACTATTTAATCGAATTATGTTCCTATTTAACTTTTAGAGAATACCTAATTCATAAAGTAGGTGCCACACGGAGTCAGTGGTGAATTGATCAAAGGTACTTTAAGTATTATGCAATGTATGTGTAGCTCTAATCTGAATCAATTACAGATTTCCAATATTTTAATAATAATAAGTGAATGGTTTAAAATTTATGTTATTATGACTTGTAAGAAAAGTTACGGAGAAGAATAAAATGTAAAGTAATTAATTATGATATGAAAATAACAATACGTAATTATACTTATTTTATGATTATATTATAAAATTTTATAAACCAGTTTTTTTTATTGATTTTTCTACAGGTACAATTGTTAAACATTTACTTTCACTTTCTATTATCAGTTATTAACTTTCCAAATTCAATAATTTAAACATTTGTGATATTGAACATATTGATAAACTTTTCTGTTTTATCTACATTTCAAATTTTTCAAAGACCTAAATTATGTTTACAAAATGACGATGTATCTTACAAAGATTTGCTTAAAAGTTGTGTTGCTAATTTGAAAAATATATAAGATAAGTTTTAATTTGAATGTAGTTAAATAGAATATTTGTTAAATAAGTAATTCAATTTAAGGATCACCTTTCATAATCTCAATAAATATTCAATTTTCCAATCTGAAAAAATTTTAAACCTGTAAATGAACATTTAGCTAACAATTAATTTGTAAATAATCAGTGCAACACAAGTTTTGTAAAAAAATTGTATCAGTTTCTAGTCTCAGCTATAATACAAATAATGTACATTCATTTCTAATAATTAAAAAAAAAAATGATTTACCATTTAACATTCAAATGTTGAGTCAGGTTTTATTTTGATATTTCAAGAAGGGTGAATGTTTCAATTAAGAAATATATCAAAGAGAAAGTTTCATATGAAATATGCTGTGATGATTCATAACCATAGTTATCTTTGAATCTCAAAACATAAATGATAAAAAATAAGGCAACCAAAGTAATAGATTAGAATTCAATGATAAATTGCATAAGAAAAACGATTTGGAGCAGAGACCCTTTCATCCCCTATCATCTTTAGCACAAGCTCGCAAAAATGTTATGATACTGTCGGGTGAATTCATATTTCTAATGAAAGTGGGGGAACTTATTGGGAATTTTCTACTAACATTTTTAATGTTAACGATAAAAATTTAATTTTTGATTTATTTCTAACTGAATATTTTTCATGGGGTTGCCATGGTAACATAATTATAAAAGGATTTCAGAGCATCATTATTAAAATTAATATCACAGGAAAATTGATACAGAAAGTAAAAATAAATTGTAAGCTGATATCCACTTCATTGTCAGTTGGTATAGAAAGTTCAATTGAATTTTTGTTATACATATTTTTTGTGTTTCAAAGACAAGACATAATAATATGTCATTTTTTTGAATAACACAAAATACCTAAACATTCATTGTAACATTTTAATAATCATAAAAATGTCAACATTTTAATTATAATAATAATTATTTATATAATTTACATAAACATACTTAAGTCCGAAAACTCTAAAAACAATATTTAAAAAAGCATGTATTATTTATCGAATAAATTTACTCCAAAACATGTTGAAAAAATTTTCCAGGTACTTGACATAAATCAACGTTTTAGAGACTGATATTATGATCTAAGGGACCAAGTACTAAATATTTGAAATAATATTCATTATTATTATTATAATTGTTATTGACTGTGATTAGAATAAAATAAAATGTGTATTTCTACCGTCCACCAAGCAGGTTGGTATAATAATCAAATAAAAAGTCCAAACATTAAACTATTGATTAAAAATTAACCAGTATAAACTTGTTTATTTAACAATAATAAATAATTAACTACTACAAGGAGTTAAAAAAACTAATAAGCCAACAATCAAATGTGAAGTACATACAATGTAAATATTACAAATGCAACATTACATGATAAAAAATAAAAAAATATATGTATTTCAACCGAACTAATATTTTTAATTGATTTTAGTAAAATAGTTCATAAACATAAAAACAAGTACTGCTAAAAAACAGTGAAAGAAGTATTGATGTACCAACAATCATTATACTAGCTTTTTACTTAACGACATTAAATATATACAAAAATAAGTAATCTTAATCAATAGTCGTAGCTGCATAACATGACACCTTACTTACAAAAATCACTTTTATAATTATTGTAAAAAAAATATTGTTGATTTGTGCTATTATGAAATATTAATATGAAACTGAAATATTATCCTTCCAAAATATATTTGAATTAAAATGTATTGTTATTGTATAAAAAACTATAAATCATTTACAAATAAGTGTTAACTAATATGAAATAAAAAAAGACATTTTTCAAAAAAGCTTGATCTATTGATTTTCAAGTATTTTAAAAGAATTTCTAACCCGACTGTCATGTCTCACGTATTTTGCTAATTAGGAATGTTGTTGTGTATTGTTTACACCTAATGATTTTACAAGCCTTATCACTGCTATCTGATTGCATACTTTGAATCTCCTTGTTCATACCAAAATAAGCAGGCATAGGTACTAATTAGCAAGTGGCAATGGTGTTAAAATAAATATCTTAATTAGTAAAACTATCATCTATTCAGTAATCACAAGGCAACCTAATAATTGCTCAATAGAACCATGAATCTATGATGTTCCCCCACAAACGGCACAAACACACCAAAAATTAAAAGTAAAAATCTCAAACAATACACAAACGCAATAAGCTAAAGTACATTATTTTAAATAAACAAATCAATATATTTTTTTTTTACTGTATTAATACTCAAAATCAAATATAATTTGTACATATTATATTACTTACATTATTTTTTTTATTTTAGGAGGATAGTTCACTGACTGAAACACAGTATCTCAAAAAAAAAAACAAGTGGAGGAAACATTGAAATACCGATAATCATTGTAAAAACTCATTATTTTATATTGACATTAAATGTGACACAAATAAATAATAATTAGAAGACATACCAGCAATAACAAGACATCTTGCAGAAATCACTTATAATTATTATAAAAATAATTATAAATATGTCGATTTGTGCTACTATTAAATACTAATGATGATACTGAAATATTATTCTCAAAAAATATATTTTATTTGAAAATGCATTTTATTGCTGTCACGTCTTGGTGTTACAATAAAATAATAGAAAAAATTATTTAAATTAAAATTAAAAATTACAATAGAAATATAACTTAAGTTTTACAATATTGTAGTGATTTAATACACAAATTACATTGATGTAATTTGAAACGTAAAAATATTATGATGATTAAGAGATTTAGTTTCAGAAGAAGTCTGCGTTTCTGCAAGACGAACAGATTAATTTCTAGTGCACGAATATCTATTACGTTTATTCCGATGTTCATTTAAATGTGCCATAAGAATAAATCGTGCATCACAAACATTACATACATATGGTTTACTAGCATGTATTAAATTTATATGGACTAAAAATTCGTCAAAATAATCAAAACTAACATAGCATATTTTACAAATATGTTGTCTGTCATAATTGTCTATGTAGTTTGAAAATATATCACCTTCAGGTATAGATCTAATTCTAGTCTCTTGCTCAGTTTTTACTTTGACTTCATCAGTAGCTTCAACATTAATCCCAAATTCCTGCTCTGAAGATTGCCACGAAGTATGTTCTATTGTAGTTCTAAGGTACATAAAAAAATAAAACAAGATAAGATAACAAGGTAAATATATAAACAATCAGATATTCAATACATTTAAATATATTGTGAACATACACTATATGACATTAGCCATATTATCCAGCCCATGAAACAGTATAAAAATATACTTTTTTAGATTCTGAGTGGAGTCATGAATGTATTGATTTAACAATGATGTGGGTTTTTATTTTTATTTCTGTCATCACAGTTTGGAGCAGTAAAAGTGCTTCGATTTCCTTCAATAGCATATTTCTAGTAGGAATTTAAAGTTTCTAATAGTTTCTACAAGCAACAGGAATAACAAACAATAACAATTATCAAAAAAATCAATAATATAATTAACAATTTAAAATATCCTAGACTGACATAGCTCTCCGCTCAGAATCGAAATTCGTATTAAATGTTATTATATCATTCATTACAGTGACCTTCTAGAAACCCCCTTTTTTTAAGTTTGAAAATATTTACAAGACATTAAAAAATTATAAAAAAAATTGTAGTCCAGAAAATACTTTTTATTTATTTGGAATCTTTTCACATTTAAATATATCTACTTACAAATAAGTTTTATATCCTTTTGCCACTTGATGTTAATTTTTTTCCTTCTTCAACCAAGGTGTTCTTGTGAACACCAAGTTAATATTCTAATTGTTAATCTGTTATCTTTTCGGTTTGCAAATTATTGAATAATTTGTATGTTAAATGAAGTATATTTACTTTTTTGTAACAATGAAAATTTTTTAATAAAGACTTTGTTACAAATTTTAATGCAATTAAATAATAACTGTTTATTTTTAAATTATTATTATAATCATAATGACAATATCCTGTGCCTTTAGATGTTCAAACAGATTTGAAACTGGGAAATTGATGCAATTTTTTTGGTTAGTACTTAGTAGCATATTATTAACCCAGTTAATTTAGTTAGGTTTATTACTTATACCAATATTTCCCAACCTTTATAAATATTTTAACCAATTACCGAAATTTTACGTTAAAGTCTAACTTAACGTTAATAATCGTAACATTTTGGGACACACCAATGTGCCGCAGCACACCAGTTAGGAAACACTGACTCATAAGCACCTTATATGAATATGTTTTATAGTTTACCTATTGAAAATCAGGAATTTACTCAACTAGGGTAAATGCTGTGTAAGGAAAAATATCAAACCAATTCTGTAGGTACATATTTGTAGTGTGAATTTCACAAGGAATGATTTTATATAAAATTAGGCCAAATGCTGATCGTCCATTATTATTGTATAATAAAGACATCTGTGTGATGAAATGAATAATATTTGATATTATATGTGCTGGTTATTAATTATAGTCTGATAATGAATTTGATTATTTTTATTTAATTGTGAACCATTAAATATAGGTAAAATTAATTTGATTATTTTGTTAGATTTCAACATTATTTTATTTTTAATTTATAAGCTACAATTACAGTATGGTGGTTGGAACATCAAAATAATGAGTTCCTAATCAGTAGGTACCTAATTTTTTTTAATAGCAACAATATCATGAAATATACATAGTAATATAAGCAGACAAACCTTCTTTGTACAGCAATATTTTTTGAATACAAAAATGTTATATAATTTAAATCAAATTTAACACGTCTATTACAGTGACTCTGATTAACATTGGTTTGGTGTAGATTAAAGGCAGATGCAAATAGATCAAATTAATTAGGGGGATTAAAATACCTTGGAATAGAGAAAAAAAGGACCCCCCTACCTGTGTTGTAAGACACATAAAACCAAAGACTGTAGAAGTATACAAATTATATTACAAAATTAACATACTCGTGTCTCTCAATACTAGTTTCTTCTAGATATTCTTGTTGTATTGCTAAGGTAAGAGTATTCAACTTCTTTGATAAGTGTACAGCATTCTTTACCTTGTATTTTCTAAATAAACATAAAAATAAAAATAAAGTTTTAAAATTACACATAAGTAGGTGTATGCTATTATGATATTATATTTTTGAAAGTAGTACTGACCTGGAAGTATACTGTTCTTTTTCTTCTTCGGTTAATCATTTATGTATCATATTCATAGACATTTTGAAGTATGACTGAAAATTGATGTTAATAGTAATTAGTAGGTATTTACTGTAAGATTGGGTAGCTTGATTACTAAATGGCACAAGCAATTGTGTTACAAATAATGAAATCGCTGTCAATAAATTACTATGTACATAGATAAATAGCCTAATCAATGAAAATCTCTAAAAATAAATAAATAAACAATGAACATAAAGACATAATAATAAAGGCAATTAATACTACCGAGAAACATTCAAAAATTAAATAAGCTGGCTTAAGTTATGGTTTAGTTTTTAGAAACTTAATATTATATTGAATTTAATATTGTATTATTGAATATTTGAATAATACTATTAGTAATACATATTGAACATTTAAACATAGTCGTTATTCTTACTTCTTAATCGTTGCGTTTGTCAAGTTGCAAACTATGGCAATTCGTATTTCCGTTGTAACGTGCTTTGTGAACTGTCGGCGGTGTAGAACGTGAAGTGAGGTTAAAACAGCAAGCTTAAATTCAACTATAGTCAATGGCACATGATATAATAGAGCTTAATCCATTGTGTTGTGGAAATAGTGGATGCACAAGCGGAATAAATTCCGTTGCTCTCGGCAGGCACGTCTTTGGATTTGTGCAACAACCAAAACTGATTTCATCGTCTGAAGGAAAAACAGAAAGGCTCAGTAAATGTACAAAACACAAATTACGATTCTTAATACACAAATGAATGTAATTGATTGGGATTTAGAGAAGCGTACACCTGTCATGTACGTACAATCGCGGCGATAATCGAACGACAGTGGCTAGGAGGGCTCGAGCGCGGCAGTACAAAAGAGTGGAACGTGCCACGGCCAAAGAACATGAAAAATAATTATAAAAATTCACAGCAATCGTGTACAACGTAATATTAAAACGATTAGAATAATAAAATAAATAATCCGAATTAAAGTTACGCGCCAGACAGCATGTAATTCGTAAATACAGTTTTTATCATTAATACGGCCAGTGAAAAGTGAGCCACGATACCAATGCTCCGGATGGCCGAACATTAACGTAACGATCACGGCTCACCTTCGCTGGCCGTACTATCGAAAAGAACGCTTAACTCGGTATCATGGAACAAAAGACAAAACTATAATCGTTCGGCTTGGAATAACAGTGAAATTATTATTCAGGCCCGCTGAATTAAAACATATTTAATCAAAATTTTTTTTTGTTTAATTTCGTATTATATTATTCTTGATCTTGAGTAATTAGTAAAATAGATCAGGAATGATAGTCGTTACATGTTTTACGTTTTGATAGCTATTGATAAAAAAATTTGAGATAACAATATCTGACTTGTATTCAGTGTTTCTAAAGTTTCTACGAACAATAAAATTGATCGATAAATCCAGAATTCTGTAATAACTATATTCGAGAGCAATAATTAATAATTAATGAAGACATCTTACGTTTTTTAGAATCTAAGACAGTAACTTTGTGTTTATGTCCTATTAATTCACGTATTATACAGTATTGTATTATTTCCCTTTGTATTTACTTAATAATATATAATAATATTAGGACATAGGTGTTTTGTACATTCAAAGCCGTGTTTTCGCAAAGTGACTAATTGATTTAAATCTTTGTAGAAAGATAAGTTTAGTGAAGTCACTTTTTAAGTAAATCACTTAATCGACATCTTTTGAAAATGGAGAGCTCAATTATCGGCCAACGTTCAACTTCCAGCAGTCAAGAAACATCTGAGTAAATTATTTATAATGTTTGATTATTAGAGATGAAATTAATTCTGTTGCCAATTTAAAGTATGTTCTTATATGAAATTAATCATTAATAGATTATGTATATCAAAACAAACATTCTAAATTATTAATTTTAATATTGCAAATATTCATTATAATAGGTTCAACTTCTACCCATACTGTTTATTCCATAAAAATCATATTACAATAAGGCTCACATGTCATATAACCTAGTATTAATTTTATATTGTTTATTCTATCTCTTGTATTAATGTAGTATAAAGTAATGTTTTAGTATGTATTACTATATTCCAGGCCAAAAATGTGTTGGATTTGTTTGTGTACTGATGATGACAATGATGATTATGAAAATAATAGAGAATGGGTGTCACCATGTAAATGTCGCTCTTCTACACGATGGGTAATTATATACATGTATATTTGGATCAAAAATTAATGGATATGTTGGTGTAATCAAAACCATATTGCAATTTTGCTGTTTGATATTTAATTTTAAATACTAGATTCTTATTAGATTTCTCTCATACTATTAAATTTATGTAACTATATTGGTACTCAACAATACCATAGATATATTATGTTCTATGTACACATGTTTGACCTACTACATTATAGCTAGTTGACATTTATGACAATTAATGTTTCATGTGCCTGTGATTTATTCAATTAAACTATAATAATAATGTTTGGTCTAGCGTTGTGTTCACACATATACAATTGTTATGTTAGGTTCACCAGGGTTGTGTTCTACGTTGGATTGATGAAAAACTGAAGGAAAATCTTTTCTTTAAAGCACATTGCCCTCTATGCCTCACACAATATATTGAGCAACACAAAGTCAGTAAGTATTGTAGAGTTAGGTTTGATGATAGTTAAAACTTTATGGGAATAAAATAGCTAAAATTGATAAAATATTTCTTTTTTCAATTCAATATTTAAATTTTTCTCCTAGGAAAAATATTTTACATTACGTCAGTTCAATTTTCTATTTTGAATAACTTTCACTTTGATATAAACATTTTTAACATTAACCAGCCAATTTTAATGACTCGAAAACATATTTTTAACTTCCAAATCCACTACGATTTGAAAAATCTGCTTGCAAAATATTATATCTTCATTGTATTTAATTACAGTTTACGTGTTTGTATTATCTTATGTTTTATAATTTTACAGATTACTTAGTTCTGCTATTAGACATACTTGATGGTGCAGCTAATTTTATAAGTCCGTTTTTAACAGTTGGTGTTACGATCACTGCTTTCTGTTGGTCAGCAGCATCTTATGGAATACTAACAATAATTCAGGTTAATTTTTAATATTTGATAATAATGTATATAGAAGTTAAAAATAAATTTATTTTAGGTGATGGGTAAAAGAGAAGCTATAACGATGATGAAAAATACAAATCCATATATTTTGCTCTTGGTGTCAGCATCAATCCCTTTCTGGCTAATTTTTGGAAAATTGAAGAATTGGGGAGAAAACTTGATGTTATTTATTTGGAGACTTACCTCACAACTTCCCTTGTTAAGAACTATCATGCCTTCGTTTGTGTAAACCATTTTATATTTTACTTATGTTTATGGTGGTTTAATTAGTTCATTACTTATTGTATTTGTATTGAATTTTAGGTGTGAACCTGTCAACGAACCTGTCAATAATTTAAGGAATAGACAACGAGTATTTTCAATCGATATTCCGGATACTACTCTTTGTGCTGCACTTTTATTGCCGACTTCTGCAGTGACAGTTGGAAATTTATTATTTCACAGTTGTTCATATTCATCCTTACAAAAAACTTTATTGGTAAGTGTTTTATAAATATTGTACTCAATATTAATGCAAGTGTTCATTTATAATATTTATGTTTCTATTGCAGGGTGGGTTGGTCTACATTGCAGTAAAAGGGGCAATCAGAATATATCAAAGGCAACAAAATCTTATTAGAGAAAAAACACTTAAAGTCCTTGAATACCCTATAACTGATGATGAAAATAATTAAAAATCTGTACAAAAATCCAGTACTCGTTTACATCACTTGAAACATAATTAAACATCTTAATACTGTACATAAATATGTAAACATATTTTTAAAAGGAAATTATTTGCATATTATTAATACATTTGTAAAAAGAATTAAGAGTAAATTAAAATAATTTAGTGTCAAACATACAAATGTTTACAAACTTAGCCCAGAAAAAATAATATCTAAGATATGAATATTGTTATTGAATAAGATAACTTTGTTCATAAACAGTTTCGTATGAAAAAGATACTCAATTCATATATTAAATAGGTTAGATTAGGTTTGGTTAAATTTTATTGTGAATCACTTATTATTATTTATTATTGATAGTTAGATATTTCAAGAAAGTATGTTTAAGAATACATTTTTTTTTTAAATAAATACAAATTGTTTTTTTTTCATTTCTTGCCTGACAAGTTGTTGCAAAGATGTAAACTCCTTTTACTTTCGGTGAAGCCATCAGTTTTCACCAGTTGAGTTCATGTAATGTTTCCTATTGTTAGCTGCAAATATTGATTGCTTCCTTACATATTTTTATGAAGTTATATTATAATATTAATAAAGAATACAATAATATTAGTGTATTGCAGAAACGACTTTGCGGTGCTGACTATAAAGTGCAACTGTCTTCATGATTAACATTTCATGTTAAATTGTATATTTTGTTGGAAGTTGAATGTATTATAACAATTTAATACAACATCTAAGTATTTAAAATTGAAGACTGAAACTCTAATAATTGTATTTACTTGTACTGTTGCATACTGTCACGACAATTATAGAGATCATAACTAAATTATGTTGTCGATAACAAACAGGTGAAGTAATGCAGGTTAGATGGCTGCAACTTGTTTGCGCACATTTTATAATTTTTACCTGAAAAATCGGAACTCATTTGCGCACACGGTTATCCTAAATGTACAACTGGTTTGCGCACACGAAAATAAGGCTATATGACATAAGTACCAAAGGTGCAAAAATGCAAGGCTGGGCATTAACGAGTTAAAAAGTTAAAGTTAAGTTAATAAGTTAATTTTATATTGACTTTTTAACTTAACTAGTTACTTTTGGCTTTTCATTAACTTAACTGTCAACTGTTAAAAATGACATATCATTTGCGCCAAAATAAATATTTTATATAAGTAGTTTTTCTAAATTTATATATCTTATAAAAATGATATTATATATGTATACTATATTATACTAATATTATTTTCTATAAATAGTTATTTGAAAATTGCTGTCTTATAAGAATATTTTTATATAGAATATTAGAATATAGAATATTTTCTATATTTTTGCTCTTTAAACAAAATACACACAGCACCTTTATTCGTAACAGTTTTATTACTGAAAATAATAGACACGTTTCCCAATCATATCGACTATAGGTCTATATCACTATATTAAAATTAAAATTAACACATTTTACACAAACATTATATTATATGCATTTTCAACATAATTTATTAACAATTATTATTAATAATAAGCAAGTATTAACGTGCATTTTTAACCACACCTATGAATATATTCATAGACAGTCCTAAGTCTGTTAAGTGAGAAGGAAAATGTATGTAGGTACTTTAATAATTTACTTATTAAGATGGTATTAAAAGGTCAGGCCAAAAGGTAACTGTGCGCAAACCATGTGCATGTTTACGGCTCAACTGTTCCCAAACGAGTGGTAATTTTGTGCCCAAAAAAGTTGTCTTTTTGGTATTTGTGCGCAAACCAGTACCGCCCGGTTAGATTAGGTGATTGGGTATATGTACCTAAATGCATGTTGGTTTATATCACGTTTTTGTTTATAGATATAATGTTTATATTATGTTAAGTTCATTGATCTTATAGAATCATAGACATAATATATTTATAATGTCTGAAGTCTTATACAAACCGAACATGATAATTCAAATTAAAAATATGTTAAATATTTGGTTGTTGAAGTATGCAATTAATATTTTAATCGTTCTATCATTCTGAGCTTGTGTTTGTTTAAATATTGAATTTCACCATTAAGTTAGCGTAACACTGTTTAAGATGTAATATTTAGGCAATTTAAAATTACAGCTCTTAAAATGTAATGCTTCTCATCAGCTTGATCACATTTTGACTATGCTTCTTTAATTTAGCACTTAGGATAGTAACTCTCAAAATCAAAGTAATAAATCAAAATAATGTAAGATGTACCTTATATTAACATTATTAATAGGCTAGAGAACATTTAGGGAAACAAATTTGATACTGTTTTAAAATTTAGAATAACATATAAATAACCTAATAATGTATTATATTTTGTAGATTCTATACATATTTTATAAATTAGCAATATAACTACTCAAAATTTAAATAAAATGAACCTTGAACATTTTCATTTCTATCAGGATTTTTATTGAACAATAATCAAAAATTTTTCTTCTATTTTGGTGTAGGCAATTTTTCGTTTATTTGATTCAGCTATAAATTTATCACAAATAACATAATAAATATCACTAATAAACTTAGCTCTTGGATCTTGTTGTCTTTCTTCAGAATCAGTATCATCTAAGTGTTTACTTTTTGGTGTCCTTTTTTTTTTTCTAGAACTCAGATATTCAATATCCTTATTTAAAAGTTCTATAGATTCGCTTTCTTAATCACCTAAGTTTTCGCAAACATATTGTATGAAATCTATTAAGGAGTTGTACAATGGCACTACTATTGAAAATAAATTTTCTGTCTAACTCTGAAGATTTTTTTAAGTTATGTTTATTCGTTGTAATATAACATCCCACGCAATAATTGTTAATATAGTAGTTTTCCTTTTTTTCAATATTTTCAAAATGTTAATTGCATCAAATCGAGTATTTCCGTTTTCATTTTTATCTTGAGATATTTCTTACAAAATAGATAAAATATGAAATGCTTTAGTTGCATTAGCATTTGCGGACCACCGTGTTTGCGAAGACGATTTAATAGTTAGGGTTTCATTATGTTTTAGATGTTGACATAAAAGTTTTTAACGATGAGTTGAAGACGAAAAAAAGTTATAAACAGATTGAATTGTACTAAAATATTCAACTGCGCCGTTATAATCGTCAACTGCATGAACAGGTTTAAAGAGTGTGCCGCTTACGATTACGGTAAAAATAGTGCAAAATTAGCTAGTGTTCTTATCCTTGTTTTTAATCCTGAGTACTTTCCTACCATATTACTGGCATTGTCGTATGACTGTCCAACACAGTTTTTAATAATATTTTTACCAAAGTTCTAAACTATTTCAACTATAATAATGGTTAAATACTCAGCCGTATGCCCAAAATATGATAAAACGGTATATAGTTAATTTTATATGGCTGAATTCGGTGGGCCCCTCTTTCGAGTGGGCCCCTTGCAAATGTCCCGTTTGTCCTTCATAAATATGGCCCCGGGGATAACAAAACAAAATACATTTTATATGTAAATATAATTAAAGAGAAAATCGAATTATAGAGTTATTCACTAGAATCCTGAGTACCACTGTGGCGTAACACTTAACAGAACAACTAACCACCCTCTGCTATCAATATTATGCTCCGAAGATCCTAAAGAATGGTTTTAGATCCTTCGTGAGCGAACATCAAGTCATCAGCAGCACTTTCACTGTAAGTTATAGATACTTATAGAGTACCTCTACGGCTATAACCACATATTAACCACACAATTAGGAATTAGTAATAGCTAACAGCAAACTTGCAGATACAATAGATCCATATACCTACTACAGTACTATTAAAAAGTATACTAAAAAGCAGACTTACGGACGCATAAAACGTGTACTCACTATTCGCTGAATGCTGACTGGCTGAGTATACACCATAATATTATACAAACAAAATAAACATGGATCGGCACGGTTAAAGATTTAAGTTATACCTTTTTTAAATATAATAATAATATCTTAAATCGTTAGGTTAGGTTAGATACTCATCTTATTAAATTTATTATGAAAGAATGATAAACTCCTCAATAAGTCAATTGATAAAAAAACCCAGTGGTTAGTTTAGGTCCTCAAATCAATCAACGATTATACAGTATTTTGTATTGCCTATACCACATAAAAATTAATACATTTATGTACACCGGTGATTCGAATAAAGAAAATTATTAATGATTAATAATTTATCACAAATAAATTATAAATAATTTTTCATCAAATTATTATATAAAATATTATATTATTTTATTATTAATAAAGTAGGTATTATGTATAAAAAAAATAGTTAATAGCATACATATTCTGACCTATTAAGGGAATATAGATTATTAAATAATCAATTACGAATAATTAAGTAATAAATATATGTAAATATTAAGATTTTATACTAAAATGTATAGACAATCCTCAGATTTTACTTAAATTTGAACATATGCATTTGTATTAACATTCCAACATACTGATGAAGAATAATTTAGATACTTACGTCTTACATCCATATTACATTTTCAATCTTTTATTTATTTATTGAAAAAATAATATGTACATTATTGATTTTAATCATTTAATTTTTCCATTATCTCTATCTTCCTTAAGTTATGCTTGCCCTAACCTGACATTGGGTCGTTGAAGATAGAAATACTCTGAGAAGTCATAGTTGGTGATGAATGTGATGACATAAGAGGGCATGTTTGTGTATGTTGAACAATTAGTGGTAGAGCCAGCTGTAGATATAGATATGGATTCATAATACCATCAATCAGCTGCAGAATTCTATGCCTAAACGAACTCATTTGTGCGTTCGTCACTGATTCAATCTCGGGTAGCAAACTTATTAGGAACATTTTTTTCGTTGATTATACTCATTAGGAGTTGTTTCTATACTTCGTTTTTCATATTTGAGTATTCTATAAAGGACTGGTAAACATCAGTAATTCCTCGCTTCTGGAATTTTTTTTAGATATGGACGTAATTCACATGTATCCTTTATTTTCGTTAGAAACATCATCCTGTTGTATTTGTATTGAACTTGAAGGTGGTTGGGTGGGCTAGAAGGGAGGTGACGGATCATCATATGATAACTAGTAATCTTCTTCGTTACTGTTATTAATTATTTCTACTATTCTTAATTCTATTTTTAAATTAAAAAAATTGTATTAATGTTGACTGTATATGACTGTAACTGTCCCAATATCTTTAACAATTAAGAGTTCATTACTTAGTATTCATAATTTTTCCAAATCTTATTCTACAACCACCATTCAGTATAACCTGTCGTAATTATCTATCCCATGTTTTTTTTTATTTAAGTTAACTTGAGAAATATTTTATTATTCACTTCTTGCTTTTTCTTTTCTTAATTGTATTGAAACTAAAATTTTTAATATTAATTGGCCATTTTTCAAATTTATTGAAGATCAAATTATGTAATACGTTTTGAAAATATCTTTGTTGATGAATAATCTGCAGTACAATGTGAATAAGTCAAGATCGAACGAACTACATTCTCTATAAAAAACTTGAACACAAATTTACATTTTTGAGTAAAACGCATACTTAATAAGTTTAATACAAATGTAATGTCCATAGCTGATATTTTCATAATTTATTGTTTTTTAAACTCATCAAATTTGTGTCTTTTAGCTTACATTTATTCCCATAAAAAAGTAAAATATGTTTTTTGTGAAGTGTACCATAAATACGGACTACATTATAATTGTAGTATGTTATGTAATCGTATTTATCATGTATTTATATTAATAAAATTACACATTTTGGTTTTTTACACAGTACTAAATAACTCCAACGTATTGCATGCATCCCATCATTGCAAATATTACACGGAAAAGAAGTGTTCCAATTAGTGAGTCGTTTATTGGTATGTATACTTTATAGCCGACTCTACAACTTGTCGCCCGCCGATTTTTGGTCAACGACCATCGCTTTTTTTTTTAGCATGCTCTTCGTTTTCTCCCTCACGTCCTTGGTCCCGTGCATCCTGTACGCGTTTGGCAACTGATCGTCCTTGTACAACAAGTCACTGAAGTATATTCTCCTCAGTCGGCAGTTGGCGTGCACCTGAATGCGGACTGTCTCCACGTAGGTCGTTTTGAAAGAGTCACTTGTGATCTCAGCCAAATTCATGTTTAGTTGGTTCCAACCCTCATTCATGCAAAATGGCATAGTGATCATGAACATGCTTTGCTTTTTGATGGTATGATAGTTGCTTGTGCGCAAACGCCGGCGAATGTTTTCGCTGTCCAAAATCTATGTACACGTATAGCAACAGAGGTGGTAATGGCCGTTAGACGAAACAGAAGACAAAAAAAATTTCCGTCCATTAAATGTTATATTTTTTTTTATCATACAATTTCACAGTTTAAATCAACACATTTTGGACAATTTTAAATTTTATGTTATTTTCTATACCTCCACATATAGTGTGCTTTAGGACTGTTTTTAGATGTATTTTACCTTTAAATTTTTATAGAATTTTTAATGGAAACCTAATAGTTACCTATGTACCTAATAGGTAGTAAGATATTATTATAACTATTGATCTATATGGGGATGGGGAACACACATAAAGCTGTAATAATAGTGTGACATATTATATACCAAGTGAAAGGTAAGCTCACGTGTGTTAGAGACATTACTAAAATGGCGTAATTTCAGTTTTTATTGTTGGTGATAAAATTATTCCAGGGCATTTAAAGTGATTACCAAGCTGCAATATTTTTCAATTTTTCTCAAGTCATGAGGGAAAATTTCTCTTACACTTTCTTCTTCGCCAACAAAAATTTCAGTTTTTATATTTTAGTAATCGCTTATTACGAAAACAGGGTAAGTTATTTATAATTGGCAATGACTTAAAAAATCAAAAAAAAAATCGATTATTAATTAAATATATTTACATAAAAAAAAACACTTTAATTTAATTTAATAGGAAACCGTGAAATTAAAGAAAACCATTTAACGTTTATGCTAGTTTTAAACTTTATTTTTCGGTTTTGAAGAGGGTAATTAATTTTGTTACTTTATTAATGTCACAATTTAAAGTGTCTGAATGACCTACGGGTGAAGGTTGGGTAGTTTGGAGTGAGCCTCTCTACCGTAAATAATAAGCATAAATACGTAAAACCGGTGGGTTTGATTGCAGGTGTTAACTAAGTGCTTATCAGTTTTATCGCTCAACTCACTCTTGTAGTAGGTATACATATTTTGTTTCTGTTATACATTTTATCTTGGTAGTCTGTAGTTTAAAATAGTCAGATTAAATCTAACATTTTTGAAATGAAAATACTAACTCGATATCTGATTTAAACCCCCGAAAGAAATGATGACTGATATTTTATGTATATTTAATAGCAAGCCAAAGAATCAGATTTGAAAAAATAGGGCGCTAATGCACCCTACCCACCCAAAGATGCTCAAGCATTATTACCTATAAAATATTGATGTACCGTGATTTCAAACGTAAAAAATCGACCAAGGTTTTTCACCAACAACGTCACGAAGGGCAGCTTAATACCGAGAGATGCTTTGGGATTCATCGGACAGGTTATACAACAGGCGTTCACATTTGGTGACTGTATCTGGAGCACGTTGGACTTCAGCTCGTCGTCTTGAACATGTTGCATTTCTCCTTCTTTGCACTGAAAATACCAATAAGCATGCTCAATATTTTTTTTAACCAGTTTAACTTATATTAATATATATTATGTTAACTATTATTAATATAAATAATAACATAAACGTGTTTTATAGACCTTTATTATTAGCAGCATAAATCGTAATGGTGTGCATTATAATTCTATTCCATAATAATCGATGGACTGTCCCCACCGATCGTAATGTGATATTGCTGATTTAAGTTAATATAAATACGTGTAATATAATGTAATATAAATGCTGAATATACAACATCGCTTTCCATAAAAAAAAAAAATATATATATAATTTTATATATTTCTTAATAGCTATGTTCGTATTTTTTTATATATATAAAATATGATGTAATTACTTTAGTCATAACCACTTGAAGAATATCGCTGGGCAGTTTTCTAGATATAAATGGCCTGGGTGTTTTATTTATTATCGAAAGATCCAGATTTTGATTTACAACTACTGTTTCGGTATTTTTAGTACTTTCACTCATTTTTCTGGTGTAATTGAGATATAATTACTCGCTGGTGTCAGTGGTTTATCAATAAGTAATTGATCATTATGTATTTTCCAAATAGTTCTGTAACGATGGTGACATCGTCACTTATACTTTGTCACCTATATACGTATAGCCTACATATATACATGTACATATATATTATTATATACTTTATAAACATAATATATAGAATATGCTGACTAAATATATTGAGCCCCTCCTGTTATGATATCATTGTAAGGCTACGGCCAAATGCGAATATTATGTAAGGGTACGCCAGTTCTCCGTTCTGCGCGACACCGTCATGTGAATAGGAACTCCGGGCTGCCAATAA